CTCTTAGCTCATTATGGTTTGTAATTTTTACGTTGTGTTTTTTGTTCTTCTCCACTTCCAAATGCAATTGTAAGAGCACAAGTTCTTTTTTTTTTCCCCCAGGCAAATAATCAGATTGAAAAAGCACAAGGGTCCCAGTCCAATAGTATAATCATTGCCTTGACAGATGGAAAGTTGGAAGGCTTGATTCCACTGTATGCAGAAAAAGAGGTGAGGGTTGAATTGAAACAGCGCTTCCTGTTGAGTTCCACATTTGCACATGTGTGTTATTTTTTAGCAAATGTAGACACGATTCTTTTTTCCCATTCTCTCTGCTACAGGCAGATAATGCCAGGTCCATGGGAGCTAGAGTTTACTGCGTTGGAGTCCTCAATTTTAATCAAGAGCAGGTAGGGACCTCTGCTTGTGGAAAGTTAGAGCCTGCATATCAAAATGAAAAATGGGGCAAGGGTGCTTTCTTATTTAAGAAATGTCCTTCATCTTGGATCTTTTCAGCAACTATTTTGTGCTTTGGAGTTCTTTTTCTGGGGTGGTGGTGCCTGTTTTCCAGGTATCTTAAGGTGTATCTGGCAGCTTACACACCATTTTTTTATATCACTTAAAAGAGGTGGGAAATCATATCACCACTGTTTAGTGAATTGGTGCCAAATTTCAGAGGCATGATTTATTCGGGGTTCCAGGATATACACACACTTCCACCCCCAAAACTGAGGGGCATGTGGCTTATGGCCCACAACCTGCCCATTCCTCTGTTATGTATTCAGTGTATCATGTAGTTTGGCCCTCAGCCTGAAGCTCCTGTTTCTGCTAAATTGGATCATTGTCCCTCTGGCTCAAGATTGTTCTGTTTTTTGCTCTCTGGTGCCTTGGATAATACTCTTAATGGGTACAGTGAGAAACAAGGATGACATAATAGTTAGGCTGGTTTTAAACAAAAGAATCAGCAGATTCCCTGAGAAGAACCATATATGGAACTGCTCCATTGTGTTTTTCTTTGGTGACCTTTCAGAGCTGGGAATCTTCCTTGAAGTTGTATTTAGTTTGTTTTGCATTGAGAATTAGAAAAATTATGACTACTAAACAAGATCCTGTCTATACGTGTGGTTCTCTCTTAGCCATTCATTTTCCTGCCCTAAATCTTTGCTAAATCTTGTGTGTGCCTCTCTGTGCCTAAAGGTTGGTAGCACAAATCTGAATCGTATTTGTGTTTATTTCCCTAGCTTGAAAGCATTGCTGATTCAAAAGACCAAGTCTTCCCCGTAAGGGAAGGATTTCAAGCTCTTCGAGGGATAATTAATTCTGTGAGTATTTGCAAAAGCGCATTTGTTTAACTTGTACGTTTTTTTTTAAAAGACATTTCTGCAGTTTCTTCATTTTTATGTTAATAATTGGTTGCCTGGACTTTCTCTAACTTGAATGCTCTATTGCAGAACGCGGTGATTTTGAACAGACTAAAATTGCTTAGTTGCATGATCAAGCATCTAGAGATGCCCTGTCTGAGACAGGAATAGAAAACTGGCTTTTTGGGTGTTCCTGAATGACTGCTCCCAGGATTCCTTACTATTGGCTATGTTTGCTAGATCCCCTGGCAGACACAATTTAGTATCATCTACCTACATTTAAGGTCTGATAGGCTGTAGAAGAGAGAAGAGTTTTCTCCTATTAAATGGTTCAACGTCATTTAACCAGAACCATTATGGCTGGCTGCATATCCCAGTGTGATATTACTTAGTTATGCTTTATTTACGGCCAAAGACCAGTAGTCAATTATGCATTACACACAATTAAAAGCAAATAATAGGAAAAGAACAAAAGAATAAAATTATTCAAACAACCGAGCAAACTAAGTAGACTATACCATAGCCTAGAGTGTGTGTGAGTTTATCGATACAGGTAGTCCTCAACTTATGACCATTTGTTCAGTGACCATTCAAAATTACAAAGGCGCTGAAAAAGGTGACTTATGACTGGTCCTTGCACTTATGACCGTGTGATTCACTTAATGACCATGGTGATTTGCTTAATGACTACAGCAAAAAAGTCATAAAATTGAGTGTGGTCACGTGATGTCTCGCTTAATGACTGTGTTGCTTAATGAGTTTTCTGGTCCCTGTTGTGGTCGTAAGTCGAGGACTACCTGTATCAATATAAGGATATATAGATAAAACTAATGATACTGGCTCTAAATTGGTAACTCCCTTATAGCAATAGCAGTACAATAGAACTTAGCAATCCATCTATACATTTCTGAAGATGAGTCAGTTAGTAGAAAAGAGAGTGTTTTCCTCATCTGATCTATCTGGAAGGTTGGATAACCCAGTATGATTCAAGGATTTCTCTTGTCCAAGTCATGGGAAGGGTTGGAAGACTTTTCAGTGATCTTGCTGATCTTCATGCAAGTTGTATAAACAGTGCTGCTTCCCTTTGGCCCATTATCTGGATCTGATGTGATGGATCTCCATTCACAGAAAGGAGTTGGGATAGGTTCATGTTGTGTGAGATAGTGTGACAAGATATATGACCCTGTGCATGGTATTTCCCCTTGACAGCTTCACATGTTTCTATTATGAGGAATTTATTTTGGAAGATAAATATACTGGCAGGGTTTGATTCCTATAAAGGATTCTTAAATAAGACCCTACTGGTTGCTTAATGGTTTCTTTATAGATGAATTGCATTTTTAAACTGCATTCCAGCTTGGAGGAACTGTATTGATTGAATTCCTTTCCTTAAAGAAAATCATGGTGTGAAAGCTTTATGGAATAGCTTAACTGTGCATATTTATTTCTGTGCTAGAATAAATATACAATTCTCCATTAAGGAAAGCTGTATCAAATGTAAATGCATAAAATTTTAATAAGATTTTTTTGGAAATATTTGCTAATGAACTTGTTTTCTGTTGTTCACTGTGGATTAAAGGGATTCAATCAAATAGGTCTGGGTGTTTATATCTGCCAGTTCATCTAGTACATAAAAACATGCTTTTACACCAAATGGGAGTCCAGAATTGCTACTATAACTAGTATACTTAAAGCAGGGCTACTAATAATTTGAACTATAAATCAAGAAACATAGGCTTTTATTAGGTAGGTAATCAGACACCTGCGGTAGCTCTGGGATACAATGACCTGAGCAGATGGGGGCTGACTCAGATAATGAGAGGCCTGCTCCTGATAGGGCACGTGGTCCAAAAATATGCTGATAGCTATAAAAGGCAGAGCAAATGCCATCAGATGTCCTTGAAAGGGAAGTGCAGCAGTAAGTCCTATTCAAGATATACCATCAACTGGGGCTACAGCCTCAGCCTCCAGCTC